GAGAGACCCATTTGCTCTGCTGCTACCAGGTGGCTCCATCCAGGATCCTTGCACATTTGTTCACTTTCTTTTTTTTATTATTATTATTTTTTATTGTTTTTTAAAGATGGGGTTTCACCATCATGGCCAGGCTGGTCTTGAACTCCTGACCTCAAGTGATCCACCCACCTCAGCCTCCCAAAGTGTTAGGATTACAGGTGTGAGCCACCACACCCGGCCCTTTTTTTTTTTTTTTTTTTTAAGATGTGTTCAGTTTCTTTATCCTAAAGAAGGGATGATACCAGACAAGTAGTCTCCAAAGATCCCTCCAACTCCCATTTTCTAATTCTGTGTAAATGGATATTTATGTTAGGAATTTCAATGTCAGGGCCAAGCACAGTGTGAAATATAAACATTGTAAACTGTTTAAAAGGTGAAAACACTCGTTCTATCATAAATGCTGCCTTCCCAAATGTAGTTGTCAAGTCCACAATGTCAAGCCTTGGTTGATTATTTAAATGACTACTAATCATACTTGTTAGGGGTTGTCTTGCCGGGAATGGGTATCCTTTTTTTCTCTTTTTCTATTTGTTTGTTTGGCTCTTATTAATAAATACCATTGCAAAGTAGTGAATGCTCATCATCAGTTGCACACATCAAACAATTAGAGATTCTTTGAACATTTCTTGAACTTAGGAAATACTAGGAGGACAGAGTGTGGACATTTGGTGGGACAGGACCCCAGCTTTAGGTAGACATTTAAAAGGACTGGTGATTCTTAACACATTCCTCAAGTGCACAATTCCTCATAGGATGTTTCGATACTAATAACTCTTAGTGACTTTTTGTTCTTTTAATTAAAACTACATACTGAAGAGGGTTTTTTGTTTGTTTGTTTTTATTTTTGTTTTGTTTTTTTGAGACGGAGTTTTGCTTTTGTTGCCCAGGCTGGAGTGCAATGGCATCATCTCGGCTCACTGCAACCTCTACCTCCCAAGTTCAAGCGATTCTCCTGCCTCAGCCTCCCGAGTAGCTGGGATTACAGCCATGCCCTACCATGCCTGGATAATTTTGTATTTTTAGTAGAGATGGGGTTTCACCACGTTGGTCAGGCTGGTCTTGAGCTCCTGACCTCAGGTGATCTGCCCGCTTTGGCCTCCCCAAGTGCTGGGATTGCAGGCGTGAGCCACCGCGCACAGCCCTGAAGAGGTGTTTACATTTCTTTCTCTAGTAAGAAAAATTTCAAGCTTCTGTGTTCCATTCAGTATTCGCTAAAATAAAATCAATTTTTGTCCTGAAATATGGTTTTAAAAACTGAAAGTCTGTTTCCTTTGATGACCTCATTAATAACAAGAGTTTCATATCAGCTCTCCCCTGCCTCTTTCTCCTCCACCCTTTCCCCCCTTTTACACTGTGCCAATCACTCAGGTGGATGCTTGCTGTCACCCCACAGCACAAAATAAATAAGCTTGGCTTGGAAGGTTTCCTAGCAACATATTGTTCTGGCAACCTGCTCTGTTTCTCTGAGCAAGATGAAGCCAAACATCCTAGCATCTCAGCCAGATGAGAAAGGATTAGTTTATTGAGACTGATTATTGCCTTTTTTTTTTTTAATATTTCACTTTGAAACGAACCTTTTAATATAAGTAGCAAAAGTGACTTTTAAAAGGACATGTAAAAATATCCTTTTAAAAGGACAATTTTTTTTTCTCTTACATGTAAAAGAAATGTTGGTAATAGTTTGAAGTTTAAAAATACGGTTTTAGAATTCTCTAGAAATTACAAGCTTCCAGTGTGTAATTCAGTCATTGGTGAGTGGATCCATTTTAGAACCATATAGAAAATACTTCAACACAGGACTAATATTCAGCCTGGTGTCCAGTGGTGTGGTATTCCTGCTGTAGAAATACTGAAATACTTTCGATCTGGTGGGAAAATGGCTGCTGGAGTGGGCTTTCTCCTCACAGTACCTGCAGCTGCTTCCCGTGGCTCTTGTTCCTGCTCCTAGGGAAACATTGGCGATACCTTGTCACTGCTTAAAACCCTGAAGTGTCCCCTGTTTCTATAGCTCCAGGGTTATTGTAGTGCTGGTGATCTGCAACTTCATCTTCAGAGTCTGTTTTTGGTTTTCTCAGTGTATGATTAATGTATATAGAGAAAATAAAACTAAGGGAAATTGAGACTGCTATCAAAGCCAGGAAAAATAACATCGTCGTTGTTTTGTTAACACATGATCATGTATATTTCCCTTGTTTATCTAATGATCTGTGAGGGTACACAGTTGGCAGGTGGTGCTTTCCTTTTGCACTCTAGTTGGCCATAGTATACTGTTAGAGGTCTCTGGGGATGGAGTAATAAAGGATTAGTGTTTCTCACAACAGTGTTCAGCAGTGGCTTTGCAATTCAGTTACACCCTGTAAAATGTCCTCACTCCGTTTGACTGGAGAGACATTCCCAGTCAGATGAATATTCTCGTAATGTGGTTGTTGGCTGGTTTGTAGCATCTATCAGGTTTGGACTGAGTTTGTGAAACTTCCCAATTGTGGTCAGAAGCAGGTGATTGTAGTACTTCATAGTGTTCCTGAGTAGGAAGAAGAAAGTAATTAGAATAAGATGGGGAACGACACCTGGTGTCTTTGTTTTTTATTTAACAAATTATCTGGCCAGATGCCAGAGAATTAATTGTGTCCTCGTTTTAATGAAAATAAGGAAATTGTGAGATAATTATATATTCATGCTAGGTGGTTTCCATTCTCTTTTGCTCTCTCACTCATATGTATATATTTTCTAAATACCATATGTTAAACTCAACAAGGAACAATCTGTTGAGGGCCTAGTACGGGCCAAATACCACTATTAGGTATTATGGCAGATACTGAGGGCAACACATCATCCTTGCCTTCACAGAGCACTCAAGAAGTCTGCAAAGTAGCACATTTGTGATTTAAACCAAACAAAAACATTAAGGAAATGTTTTGATGTTTAAAGGAATCATAGGCTAGGTATAGTGGCCCATGCCTGTAATCCCAACACTTTGGGAGGCTGAGGCAGGAGGATCACTTGAGCCCAGGAGCTTGAGACCAGCCTAGGCAACATAGCCAGACCCCATCTCTATAAAAGTTAAAATAAAATAACATAAATAAAGGAATTCTATAAATTTGATTGTCCAAAGAAAGGCTAAAAGTAGATTTAATACCTATTATAGAACAGAATGAGTTCTAATACCTTAATTTTGATTGAATACTTATTTAAAAAAACAATTTAAAAAATGTCCATGAACAAGGCATTGTTTTAGGTACCTCTCTGTTAACTCATTTAATTCTCCTACACCATTATGAGGTAGAAATTTTGTTTACCTGCCATTTTATAAATGAAGAAACTGAGGCTAGGAGAGTTTTTTTGTTTGTTTTAAAAGACAGGGTCTCAGCCGGGCGTGGTGGCTCATGCCTGTAATTCCAGCACTTTGGGAGGCCAAGGTGGGTGGATCACAGGGTCAAGAGATCAAGACCATCCTAGCCAACATGGTGAAACCCTGTCTCTACTAAAAATACAAAAATTGGGTGGACTGCTGGCACGCCCATATAGTACCAGCTACTCGATCTGGAGGCTGAGGCAGGAGAATCGTTTGAACCTGGGAGATGGAGGCTGCAGTGAGCCAAGATTGTACCACGGTATATCAGCCTGGCAAGAGAGTGAGACTCTGTCTCAGAAAAAAAAAAAAAAAAAAAAAGAGTCTTATTCTGTTGCCCAGGCTAGAGGAAGTGGGTGCTCACATGTGCCATCAGAGTGCACTGCAGCCTGGAACTTCTGCGCTCAAGCGATTGTTCCATCTCAGTCTCCCAAATAGCTGGGATATAGGCATGCACCACTGTGTCCTAAGAGAGGTTAAATATCTGTTTACTGAGGGCTGTTGTCCTATACTGTGCTTATTTGTTGATTTTTAAAATTCTGTGAGTCCATAGGATT